TCCCTACACTTAAGTTCATAACAAAACCTGTACTGACTAAAGGATGTGCGCTCATTAGTATAACCAAGCAGAAAAGTGGCAAATTCCTTTCATAAATAAATCACTGGCTCTCAGCTGCTCGATGACTTATCCCTAGAAAAGCCTATGATATTGAGTATCTTGAGTCCAAACCGACAGTCATTCACGCGTGCAAAATAACTGGCTTTTATTTGGTTCCTTCAGAAATCAGAAAAAAGATTTAATCCCTTCCATACAAATCACAAAGGAAAAATTTAAGACAATTTACTTACCTAAGGATTTCTTTCCGAGTGAAGAACGTGCAATCCTGTTAAAAAAACAAAATGTGTTATTGTACTATAGAAATATTGAAAACAACTGCAAAGAATTATTTTTCAACCTTTTAGAAGGAAACTCAGATCTGGCAGAAAAACATTAAAGACGCTATTTGTGTACCATCTGCTTTTGACTCAGAAAGCAATATACGTTATAAAATACCTGAAATACCCTAAGGGCAGAGATATCAGTAAAAAAAATAAAATACTGCTAGTGTGAAACTTCAAGAGAAAAAAAACCAGCTTGCTGAAATACTTCTCCACTGTGGAATGACCAGATGAGAAACAAGATTAAATCAAAAAAGGTACAGGCCAAAATCATTCAATAAATGGATCTAAAAGCTATAAATAACAAATAGATGAAGAAAACCATCTTCTAAGTTGGAGTACTCCTCTATTACAGACAACTGATTTAATAATAAAAGTAATGTCCTTATTCATTAGTTATTAACTTTTTGCTAACAATTACTTTGCACCGTGGTCACTTCGGCGAAGGCTGCAAACTCCTCTGTGTTAGGAACACAGACAAAAGCACAGCCCCTGCTCCAAAAAGCAGGCAAACTATTCTGCTTTCCCTGTGGTATCACAGAATTTGAAATAACTTACTAGAATGGGAAGTAGAGCTAGCTGAACATGAAAGAAGATTTTGCAAGCATTCACTTGCGTTCTTGAATGGCTCTGTGGTGGCACTGCATTTACGCTAGTTTAATTCCCTCTTTATGAACATCTGCGCTTTTCTAGAAGAATTCACACACTTCACAAAAGAACCACAATATGAGTAGTGAAATAGTTTGCATTTCACTTATTTCTACATCAGTCACAAAACAAGTTATATTTTCAGGTGCTGTGAGGAACCATAATAATCAGTCCCATTCCATTAACAAGAAATATCCCCTAATCCCCACTATCTTATCCAATTACACATTTAGAGAAAATTCTGCCCTGCATTCAAAACTAGAAACACTCGGGGCCATGAAATATTGGATGATCAGTTTAGAACATTGTTCAGGTCATTAATTCAGAGAATATGCATCTTCTTGTCTTAGAGCTAGTGGCTGAGGGTATATACACGGTGAACAATCAAACCACAAAATTCTTCCTGCTTATCCACCTCTCACAGGCCCATGTGATATGGCAAGGCATTTGTATAAGATCTCAGCTCTTAGTATTCTTCCTCCTTTAATGTAAACACATTTAAAATAGATCATATTTTTAAATCAGCTAGTGACACGATAGCAACATCAGACTTGGTAAGTCATACTTAAGAGTACGTATGACTAGCACAACTCCCCCAGTCCTGCTTCTTCAGTGAACTAGTGAAAATGCATTTCTTTCCCAAGCTAAGAATCATTCTGGCTAAATGCCTGCTTCTTCCAAGAAGGGGCAAAGCAAATGATCACAGCTAGCTCAAGCAGTCAAACAGCTTGTCTCGGGTAACCAGGTACGCTACCAGTCCTGCATGGTATCAATTATTGAGCTTGCTTGCTCTCCTCCATATAAAGTGGCAGGAACAGCAGCTCTTCCTTTAGTGTATTGTGTAGCAGAATAGTGTTACAAGGCGCAATAGGAAGGACCTTGTGAGCTGCTGACACTGATGTCACATCGTCTGGAACTGCACAAAGTGAAATAGGAGCCAGCTGGTTAAGTCTTCATTAATTCCAGCACATTCAACACTTACGGTCAAACTGCCACTTACAGGATGCTTCATTTACTAGCAAAAGGCAGGTGCAATCTCACATATAACTGTAACACCCTCAGCAGCAATCATCCCATAATTAATAGGCTTGAGAAAACAGCAGATACTATAACTTAACTAGAAAGCCACCAAGAATTGATATGCAAATGGAGATAAAGATGAAAAAGAAAAATTAACCTTTACCCTCCAGAAATAATGCAAAAATTACAGTGGCAGACACATTAAGAGGTCAGGTCAAACTTTTTCATTGAAGGTCCAAATAATAATGACTATTTTTTTAATGTGAGTCACCTCACATTTTTGACAAACAGTATTGTCTGCCTTTTTTTTAATCAAACAAAATTTTTACTAATATAATCTAAGAGCCACTGATATTGAAAACCTTTATTATAAAAGTAGTTGCAAATATCTGCTTGACTACTCTTACCAACAGCAGTATTCCAATCATGCCTGCCATTACATGGAATTGTGTGTCAGCGATAAGAGGTGTCAAAAAAATTTACAGTGTTTCACAGACCACTTGCAGAGATCTTAAAGCTACTCACGGTCAGAGCACCACAAATTAATTGTGACCTGGCCGGTACTTTTGATCCACAGCAAGATCATACACACCACTTAAGAAATGCTTTACCATTAAGAAGCCTGCCTGGTCTCAAATGGCAAATGTAAAATCCATGGCTTCAAGCTATCTCTGAAACGAAAGTCCAGCCACCTCTCTCTTGTTTCTCTCAGCTGCTTATTTCTTTATTTGGACTTCACACCGATGAGTAGCATAACTGCATCAGAGAACTCTCAAGGAAGGGACTAATGTGTTTGGAAACTAACCTAGCAAAAATGGATTCATTTCCAGCTTGGATCACTTCCTTTTAGTGGCTTAGAATATAGCATCGGTAGTGCTGGTACAAGAGAGGAAGATAAAACAAGTATCTATTGACGGCAGGAAAGAGGTGCAGGACTGCCTTTTTCTTTTTTTTGAAAGCACAGCCCTGAGTTGGGTTAAAGTCACGACGGAACAGGGTCTAAGTAACATAATTACATTTTTATAGTTGCTGGAACTCCAGCAACTTAATTCCAATTTAATTAAAGACCTTTGGCCAGAGAAACATGGAGGTGAATCATCCAGTTTTCTTCTGGCTACTTCATTCATACAGAAAATGCACAATGGTGGACAATAAACAGTAAACCAAAATGTTACATCAACTCACTCACAAGGAAAAGTGAAGTGTGTCCTGGAAAGCCTTTGTCATTTATGCATATGATGACATTCATCTTCCTTCAAGCCAGAGATATCATGGAACACATGGTATCTATTATGTGGACTGTATTTGAGTTTATTACAAACTTAAAAAGCAACCTGCCTATTCTCTCTGGACACTAAAGCCACTGGGAGTCCTGCTAGAAAAGCAAACACTAAATACTGAACAAATAAATGTTACCAGAGTTTTCATAATTCTTAACAGACAACTTCTGGCAAGATTTTATCCTGAGAATCATTGCTTTTATTTCTAACGCTACACAATGGCCTGAAAAACTGCAGCTAACAGGAGGTCCCTTGTGGGTTTTATGTTATTTAGAATAGAGGCTTGGCCTTGAAAGGTCACCTACTCCAGCCCCTAAGAAAATATACACTCCTTTTCTAAGATCAACTGTCCCACTCGGTCTGTCCTTGTGCCCTTAATAATCAAGTTAATTAGAAGTCTGACAAAGGATCACTGATGGTTTTTTGGAGGGAAGATACCACTTAAACCTGCAATTATCCGCTTAACTTCCTTATGTCTAGAAAAGTGAATAAAAGAAAGCAAACAAAATATCCCATTGATTTAGATAGGATCATTATCTTGCATAATGGGACTTGGTTCTCAAATTTAGCATTTGGGTGGCTTAACTGGTTCTTAAAATATTTTGCAGAGAAAAAGAGTCAGCCAGCTGATGTATTTAGGTTCCATGGGTGGCTCTGCTCTCGGCTGGTAGGGTGACTTTCTGCAAGGTGCTCAACGTTGCTTGTGAAGTAGGGTTAATGGTCTCTGCTCTTAAAATTTACTTTACGGAAGAGCAGAATGTACAGGCTGTCAGAATTTTATTCTTTAATTTCCTATGTCAGGTGAATGCAGGCTTAGGATAAAACAGGAACAGACTGAAATATGGCAGTCCACTACCTTTTTCCACTAGTCTGTACGACAAACTCCTACACTGACTTGAAGAAAAAATAGGAATAGAGATAACTGTGCTGAGAATGCTGATACTGAACTTTACGTAAAGTGTACATACAGTGTGTAACATGAGGTATGGCTCCAAAATCAGAACACATGTAATTTGTTCTGTTGGATGTATTGCCAATACCAGAGCACAGTACGCAGTTTATGAATGGCAGAGTCCATTGAATAACAGATTATCACTTACCACTTTCAGAAGCAAGTATCACTGTCCATAAAGCACAGATTTAAAATGAAACTAATTCCACATAGATAAGCAAAACACTTCTCTACAGGAAAGAGGAAAAACTAGAGAAAGGAAGAACAGAATGAAAGAATAGCAATGCTTGAGTATGCAAAGCTGCTGTGAAATAATATTTCTTAAACCCATTGAATGCATATTTCTCCTCTAAAACAATACATATATAATTCTGCTTTTTATACATGTATTTTCATAAAGGCAGGTTTATTCTGATCTTGCAACAGCTCCACTGGAAAGCTTTATAAATAAGGAATGAATATAAAAAAGTCTTAGCAATACAAAATCATTCCAAATTAGAAGAACAGCCTCAAACAAAAGCCAGCAAGCCACAGATAAAATAAACCAATGACTAACAAGAATTTTTACAATATCCTCAAGGCAGGATAGATTAGATCCATATAACTATCTTACTGAGCAGCTTTTTAAAATGACACTTACTGAATGCTGCAACATTTGCAATATTAGTATTTCAAACAAATTATTTCAGAGGTTTCATTTTTTAAATCACAAATTATGCTTTGTACTGTGCCAAAAGTACACAATGTGTAAGAATATTTAATCAAAACACCACGTTCAAACATCACCCTACGAAGTAATCAGAAAGGTGCTGGATAGAAGCAAATGAAGTTTCCTATCAGATCCATTATTAATTCTATTCTGGAAACATTTACAAATGCAATACTTTTATTCTAGTTGCCATACCACTAAGACTGGTGTAGAGTAGTGCAAGACTGAGTCAGCAAGATAGTTATCTATTTTCATCACTGTAAATATATAAAGAGTTACTGGAAGTCAATGAGACTAGCACCAGTCTTTTAAGTTGCATAGCTGTGCAAGTACTTGAGTGAATCCAGATTTAAACACTAAAGAAAAAAAATAGCCTGTCAGAGTCAGTATCTGCATTAATAATAGTGTCAGTGTATGAACTTGAACTTCTATCTTAAAAAATGCTGGTTGCATCACAATGTCAATGGAGATTTTAACATCCAGGCTATCTTTAGTTGTCATCATATATATTTTAGAACTACAACCAGAACAACTAAAACATCCACTGAGTTTCAGGAGGAAATATCTGCAGCTGTAAGAACCAGTTTATGTATCTATACTGCAACATGGGAGCAAACACAGCTAGACATTAGCAAGGACTGAGTAAGAACCAAACTGTCAACAAATGCAGTTTGCTCAATCTATATATGAACCAAATAGATAGGTGAAACCAGAATCTGACAAAGACCTTGTTCCATTGTTATGCTACTTAAATTTGCACATTAACAGCAACACTCTATCAAACTGAAAAGTACTTTTTACAGAAGACCCTGGAGAACCTGTGACGCATACACTTTTTGTATTCTTGCAAAGGGTTCATTTTCATCAAAGATCCTGATTAAGTCAAGCACAGCTTTTTAAATCAAAAGATAGCTCGATGACCTAGCTTCATTTGATAAATGGCACTTCTTGACAGATCATAATGTAATTGGTTTCATCTGGTTTTGCATAATTCTCATGAAATATAGTTGAATCCCACTTTGACTAGAATTTTAATAAATGGAAAAGTTAGCTCTGTAATAGAATTCTTGTGTAAAAGCAGCAAGTCATTATGTCATATTACTATCTTTTATTGCAATATTGCCTAGAATACAGCCAGAATAAACATCAGTTTGTCTTGAGGCTGCATTAAATAATGTAAATAACCCCATTAATGAACAAATTAAAAACCTTAAATGGCTTGCAAGAAAAACAGTAATATCTGATATAAAATATTTGTGCCCTATATTCTCTATTCTATTAGGAAAATAGTTAGAACCAAATTTGTATCAAACTGAGACCACTTATTCAAGTAACCCCAGAAAAGGCAATGAGATTGACTGAGCAGTGGAGCAGTTTGTCCATACCCCAAGCACAGCCTCTATGCATTCCCTGCTCAGGGTAATAGTTTCTCAGCGAGACATGCAGTGCACCGAGGCCAGTATACAGCTCTGATACCGCTTTATTGTCTGCCTTCATTTTCCATCACTCTGAGCATCTTAATACAACACTCAAAAAAAATCCTAAAATTCCTGTTCGTTTTATTTTCTCATTATGACACTTGACCTCCAAAATCTGTAAACAACTTTTAAAAGTTTAATTTTAACACGCTCTTTGATTGCAATGAAATGCATCTTTCTTGCTGATTAATACTTACTTTCTCCGTAACCAGACCTTGTTTAGGTTTTGCATTTTATGTAAAAAAAACCCAAACCCACCAACAAATAAAAAAAAAATCCACAAAAAAGCCCCCAAACAGTCAAGTACTCTACGGGCATAAGAAAGAGAAATCCCCAGTAGAATTCTGTTTCTTACAAGGCTAACTTTTTAAATTAGGTGAATCTCAGTGAGGAAACCACCGTTTGCAAAAGCCTAATTTCCAAAACATTTCACTAAGCTCATGAAAATTTAAAGAACTGCCAACCAGAACACTATCTTAATGACAGGTGATATGATAAGGTGTTAGGTGATTTGCAGCTTTCCAGTCTTTCTTTAGTTAATTTGCTTCTACCTATTCCAAGCATAAAAAGCTCTAAGAGGTTTGATGTTACCAAGTCCTTTATGCATCTCTTTTGCAAACAGTTTCAAATGGTCACCCATCATCAGTCTTAATGAAGAGTATTTAAAACACTGGTCTATTAAAAACATTGAGGTCATCTTGTGGGTGATCAGATTTATAGTTATTTCATTGAAATGTAAAAGTTCTGCTAAAAAGTGACTTCAATATGACAGTTTATATGCAAAAAAAATCATACATGGGCATTTCAGAAAGTTTTAAACAAATCAAATAAGGTTATTTTATTTCATTAATGTCATATTAATGATATGAGGTTCATGTATGCTAGCCCTTCAAGCAGGTGATTTTTCTGCAGCTTAATCTTTACGCAAAAAAATAAAAGCCTGAAAACTAACGCCACTTACATAGGGTTTTACCATACATTAAGCACATTAACTTCTCACTTTTCCATCTTGCTTTTACCTATCAGAAGTATCTCGTATGGAAAAGGGACTTAAAACATGATGTATTAAAAAAAAAAAGATTTCACTACTAAAGCAGCATTCAGGTGCTGAAAGCTCAGAGCAATTTGTGTTAAAGACAAAAACTGTGGAAGTTACAAACATATAATACAATGGCCAGAAATATATTCAAATAAAGACGTTTTAAGTCTAACCGTGAGAGGAGTGAGGTTTTGAACAGTCTGCTAATAGCAACTGTGGGGAATTGACTCTTTTGCTTCTGCCATACTGACACTACGGACTCTGTAACCCTGGGTATTACTGTAAGTAGAGTACAGTACCAACTCATACAAATTCACAAGAGGTTGCCTAGCTCTCTTTTTGGGGGAAAAAAAAAAGGATTAATCAAAAATCCATTTTAAAAGCAGTTTATGTGTTTATGTCTGGCTATACACTGGTGTACAGATGTGCACAACTGACTGTTGCGAAGTGGACCTTGGTGCACAGTGTTTTACTTCGGTCCAGTGTTCAGAGGACCTGGCAACCCAACTGCTGTTTCAAGAAATTAAAAACCTGCCTTTTAAAAATTATGGAACCATTGCCCCATTCTCCCCTTTTCTGTTCTGAAGGAATTCCACAAATGAGAAAAGGCCAGACAAGACTGCAAACTCCAAGCCAAACAGCTCTGTCTGTATTACAGCTACTGCATAGTCCCCCAGAACGCAGTGGAGAGGCAAGAGCTCTCTGTGCAGACGGCTACAGCAGTAACCCTGGGATTTCTATGTTCAAAAGATCCAGGTGGTATGCAATAATTAATGGATCACAGGCAAATCACTATCAAAATAAGGATTTTTATCTGATTGTTCACAGCACAAGGCTAGTATTTCTTCATGACCAATTCTGGAGGTTAGTTATTGTCCTGAAACTTGTTATTTTTATTGTATTTACCATACATAACAAGTACTATTACTAGTCAAAAATTATCTAGCACTATACTAATAAACTACAAGTTCGTCTGTAACAGAGAAATCCCATAGGCTGACTCAGTCCACTGGGTCTAACTCCTGCCAGGCTTTGAGATCAATTACCCAGCATTACGAAAGGCAGGGGCTGCAAAAGCCATTAGAGAAAGGCAATTTCTACATGAAGAGTAGTGAATTAGGGATGACATTTCAGCTCTTGCATTTGCCAGTTTGTGTCAAGAAGATAACATTAATTACATTTGGATTTTGGTTTTTTTCACTGCAGTTGGGCTCTGTTCTGTGTTCACCTCTGTTGTTAGTAGAAAGACATACACTGCTGTTGCATGGATCTTTGATTTCCCTCTTGCCTATTCAGCAGGGATCTAAAAGAGTCTTTTTGGATCTTAAGAGTACTAAGTGTAAGACCACTAACTTAGACTAATATATAACGGTAACAGACTGTCGGTGAGGGTGATATGTGTGACAAAGTGGGAATTAAAGCAGCTCCATTTTCACATTTCTACAATGACAAAAAAAGACTAGGAATTTAATAAGAACATTTAGTTTATGCCTTGTTTTCAGCATGGGATAACATTTTAAAGCATTTTAGCATATATCCCTAGGCTGACTCTGTGGCTAAATATCTACACTTGTGAAAAGTCCATGTTAGCAGTAACTTCAAAGAAAATTAGTATTTAAAATCATAGTTTCTACTTCAAGGGCTTGAGTCAAAGGTCCTGAAGGTAAAAAGCAAGTTAGTTACTTGCGTGTGCATTGGATCTGTCCCTTGGTTATCACGAGATAAACTAAATCTTTATCTCCTTTGCTGTTAATTCTGTCTGTTTATTGCTTCATGCAAGAGAGTGATGCAGCCAGCCCCGCCTGCATCTTGTAATAGTCAGCTGCCTCCTTCTTCAGCATAATTCCATTCAATATATTGTCTCCCTATTTTCAGAAACTTGTTCAAGATGCCCACTGTGCAGACAGCTTCCTGGAATCCATTTCAGTAAGATTTGCAGTGTTCTGAGACGTGACTGAAAACTGGAAATTATTATTTTGTTACCCTATTGAAAAGTCAGTTGATAGAATGTGAAGTAAATAAAGAAGTGCCAATAGGCTATCCCTGGACATAAAATACATACTACTTCTGTTAAGGTAAGAAACTGCCATCTAGGAGTGGATGCAAGCATAACGATACCTGCTTTGGAATTACATTAAGTGTATTTCTATGACTTATCCTTAGGAAAAGCGAAATTAGACAAGACTGCCCCCCCCCCCCTTGACAGCAAAGGCATCAGGGAGAGAAGAAGATGTTATTGCTACACTTCCTTCTTTACTAAACACTCAATAGAAAGATTCTACTGAAAACTTCCATTGTCAAATGAGTCAGAGTCTTTATCCTGCTTCCTAGTCCAGACATCAAGGATTTGACTGTTTTCCATGGATACAGAAAAGGGAACTAAACTGAGTATATTCAACAACCCAGCCTTAGAATACTATTACAATTGCTGGAAGGAAGAGTAGAATACAGGCATGCAGGCTACAAAGGAAGTTTTCATTTACATTTGGAAAAAAACACTCCCCAACACAAAGAAAAACCACAAACATATTAAGTTTACTCCTTTCCTTCCCCTAATGCAAACGAAGACATCTTACCTGGTATGCATCTAGCTGTTCATCAGTAAATATCGTTTGCTTATTACCCATCTTAAATGAGGAATTCTTCCCCTATGCAAATGCATCCCATTAGAAGTAGCTGGATTCCTCTGTATTGTAGGCATTTAGAGCACGTATACTCCGTGAACGTGCTGAAAAAATCCCAAAGCCTGCATTGAACTGGTTTTGACTGTATCTATCCAATGAGGAAGGATGCAGTACTGGGAAATCTTTGCACAGGCTCGACTTGAATGTGCCGGGAAGGAAAGCGTTAAAATCACAGGCAGGTGTCGCCCAGAAACAGTGATGGCATTCTCTCCCTTTTCCAGCTGCTTTTCTAAGAGGCATACAGGGCTTTTATAACATTAAAACCGAGTAGCCAGTACTAGAAGAAATCGGCTCTCTACTGCCTCGGGCTCTCACTCGCTTGTTCACTCTGTGACTTCAGGGTGCTCCTGCTCGGCACCTTCACGTTTTAGAGCAGCTTTGCGTCACCCGATGGCGCTCGGTAGCGCAGTCGTATTACACACACGCAGAGGGAGCGCAAATCTAGTAATTAGAAAAATGGATTACCAGAGCAAACGTTTCTGCAGCTGGTCTCCCCACAGGTAAAAGCTCATCCTAGTCAGCGCTTGCATCTGACCCGTACCATGCCGCCGATGTTAAATACAGCTGGATGGAGGCTCAGAGTGTCCACAGCGTCCCCACATCATCACAGGTGCCGGCGGGGGCTCCGCAGTAAACGCTTATGTCCACACAGTGGCTCCAACCAGCCCTGGCCATCCAGGATGTGAGTTCACTATCAGCGGTGCCAAAACCCCCAGGTATACCAGTGAATATTCCTTCTCACATTAAATCAGTCTAAAAAAAAAAGTCAGGAAGATTCAAGTCGTTTAATCAGACGGTAATCTGACTCCGCCTCAAGCAAGCACAGCTGTAAAGAAAAAAGTTAACACTGCCTAAAGCAAAGAAAGTACCACTAGAGGGCTCACAGTGTATTCTCAAGTAATACAACCTTATTTCCCTATTTCTGGGAAAATTAAAAAAAAGAGCACGTAAGAGATGCTCACAGACAAAATGAATACACTCAAACCAACCGATATTCTCTAACACCTGCAGAAGGATAAGCTCATATAACAAGAGTAGGAAGGAGGCTGAGTGAGAAAGGATGGGAACAGGGAGGAAAGACCTATTATAATTCTATGGATAACTTTCTTCGGATTGCTTACTTCCCATTTGTGCACACAGGAACGGGAGAAGGTTTATAAATATTTCATAAAATTCCTACCTTCTTTACCTACAGCTCTGCCCATGGTCATTATTTCCTCAGCAAGTTATCACATTTAATAAAAACACCTGGAGAATTATCTTGTGCTTTTTCCTACAGCTTCTAATGAACCTGACCTGGTAACAGCAGTGGTTGATAACAGAAGTTCAATTTACCTTGGCATATAACAAGAAAGAACAAACATTTAACAATAATACTGAAAGTAAAGATATTGTATACATAATAAAACTGGATTCCACCAATAGAATACATTGCAGCACAGTTTCAAAATAAGAAAGAAGCAGCTATAATAATAAGGACAATACAAACTCTGAATGACCTACCATCAGATCAAGAATGAAGCAAGCGTCTATTCAAGTGTCAGACAGTTGAATCAACTGTTTGTTAAATGGCCAAACTGACCTCTGTGCTTTTAGCCAGTAGTGTTGTGGGGTTCTTTTCTTTTCTGCAAGGTACAATGGCATTGGATTGTTATGTTCAAAAAGATTGTCCACAGGCAAATCAGAAAGTAAAGAAGAAAAAAACCGCCAAAATCTGCAAAATATAGTATTTCTTTTTATTAAAAATTTCTTTTAACACACTTTTTGTGAAGCAGAAAACAACCCATAAGGGCCCCTTGAGATTAAGAACTTTGACAGTTCTGAAAGTTCTTACACATCCTCAACTCTGGATGAGCTTGACCATTGGCTTTACTGGTTATGCATGTAATTAAGCATGTTTCCTATCTATGACTTGGTGCTACTGAAATGCCAGAGCTAGCAGCTGTTCTCACTCAGACCAGACCAATGCACCGTCAACTGATTTGCATGAAATAGCTCACCTTTCACAGCCACCTAATTCAAGCTGCCTGCCTATGCAAATCACACTAAATATAAATGGCCAAATTATGTTTAATGTCATTATATGTTCTATGTTATGCTTGTGTTCTATGTCATTATATTAGTGAACTGACACCAGGGGTGCATTGGGCTCCGTATCTTTTAATTTTGTGATTCTCTATACTTAACAGTATCACTACAGTGAAAAGACTGACCTCTGATTTCTTCATTTTTAACCTGCTTTTATCTTCCTGGCTGTTTGGTCTCGCTGTATCCTAGATGATACACATATCAAATAGTCTCTAGCCTTAGAATCAAAATAAAAAGCAGAAGGCCTAAATGGAAAGCACCAACTAGATAAGACTTACTTGTGGTTACAAAGTAAGCCAGAGGGAGAGTTCCTGAGGTTCACAGACATATTCCTGTTTATGCCTTGGGGCCTGGCTTTCCACTCTTCTCTTGCATATCAGAAATGCTTTGGTTTCACGCTAATGTAAAGAAATTACACAGAAAAACTGGTATGGATAAGAGTTCATTACTTTAAAAGAAAGACTGAACTTACCAAGGGAACAGCACTCGCTGAGTATATGGACAGAAAATAAACTGTTTCTTCAATTCTTCTTTCCATACTCCGAAGAGTATTTTGATTATTAAATAAAATTAAAATGCGCAGATTTTTTAAAAGAGGATTCAAACACTGATTGTTGAGGGTTCCACTATACCAGCTAGTTCTTCTCAAGCATGCTATAGTGGTACTTATGTTTCACTGCATAACTATCTTGCTATACTAGCTGGGTAAAACTTAAGGTGATACAATGCACAAACTCTTTTTGATTCCTCCTACCTGTTCGTATGTATCAACGATCAGATAATTTTCCAGTTTGCTCTTTTTCACTTCTTTTATCTGTATATATCAAAGATTAGTTTAACATGCCAGTTGGGTGTTAAGCAATACTTACTCCCAGCACAAGCTACTGCAACAAATCAATACTTTTCTATGTACACAGCCAGATCTGACCTTAATGTCACCAGTACCAACCTTGCAGCACACTTGACTGTATTTCAGTTTCTCTAAACTGTTTGCCAAACCAAGTGATTTTAAGCTATTTAGTAACACATAGCACATATCTTGCAAACAGTTGCAAATAACGTTTACTAAGTAGTGTAAGTATATATACAATAGTCTTACACTGGCCATTATACCCAAGAACATGGTTAAGTAACCACAGTTCACCTGCTTTAAAAGTTTAATTCTTGGAGCAAAAAAATATATTATCAACCATGTATACCAGATTTAATATTTTATAGCAAGATGACTGTCAGCTGCAATAGCTTAACACCCATCTAAGGCTGCAATTTGACCCCAGCTGCAGGGACATGTTCCCACAGCCAGAGCTCAGGGAATGGGACAAATCATGCTAGCACCCCTGATCACCTTCAGTGCACAGTCTCCTGCTCTGAACTGTTGCTAGCCATGGCTGCTAGACCAGGTGACTTTGCTCTGATTTATTAGTAGAGGTGTAAGTTTAATAACCTCTGACAGACAGGTCATACTACCTTAAATTGCCTCTGTAAATCATGCAGTGAGAATCTGACTGTGGTTGAAGTATGAAAGCTCTTATTCCTCAAAGGAAGATCAAGATACTTTGAACAGAGACCATTTTACCTGTTAAGGAGAGGATCCACACAGAGTTTTGACAATCAAGTTGCACATCTACTGCCTTCACTGCTCGAGTTGGTTTGCTCCAACTTTGAGTTTTCATATATAGCCATAATCAAAAGTTATCCTTTTCGTTGGGGGGAAAAAAAACCTGCAGGGTTTCATGCCCATCACACCAAGTATTCCAACAATTTCTCTCCCACACAGACTGATTCCTTGCAGATCAGCTCTTCATAAAGATCCACTCTGTTAGTAAAAAGAACAGCTTTGATCTAGAAGGGCTGCCTGTACATTTATTCTGTTGCTACTTTCTATGAGTTGTTAGGGCCCCCTTCTGCTGCAAGTGTAACTAACAATAATCACTATTTGCAACGATTACAAGGGAAGAGTTCTATTCTCCACTATAGAAATTCCCCAAGTCTTTGGGGCTTGTTTTATTTACTTGAAAGCTATTCACAATCCTGTTTGCTCACAGGTAAATGAGGAATAATAATGTTCATCTACAGTAGATTCTGTGGAGATAAAATAATTAAAATGCTTGTAAGTCCCTTAAATGAAAAATGCTACAGAGCTACAAAACATTACCATTGTAATATGCTTCACCAACGGTCACAACTTGCCTCTTATTTAATAGTTATGGGAAACTATAATGAAAAAATGAGCTGTAAATACACAGTTACAAAACAGAAGTCCTAAAATAAGTGAAAAATGATGGTTTGATGCTACTGCAGTAGATGGGAAAAATAGCTTTTCCAACACATGACCAATAAGATGCTTATATCCCACTAAATGTGCTAGCCTATAAGAAAATGCTCCATGGGACCGAATCCTGTCTTATGAATGAATAAATAGAACTTGAGAAAGATGCAATACTCACAGCCCTCAAACCAATGAAAGATGCTGACTATCTGACTAAATGCACTTGTTATGATGAGCAAGAATTTTCGGTAGAGGTTTTAATGCTAAAGAAAACAAACAGAAAGGAAAACCTTATGCCAAATTTGTTGGTTTTATGATCTTATCTTTCTAGCTTAATAAAATACACTATCTTGGAGGATGAAGGTTTCTGACTGCATTTCATTAAACCTAATTTATCCATAATAAATCAAATTAAAATGACCTTTTTTTTTTTTTTTAAGATAGTTTGCAGAAGACAGTGCTTTACCTCAGGGACAAAATAATAATCCAAAATTAATCACTTCCTAAGCAGACTACATTTAATATCATAAATTTCCTCACAGGGACTGTCAATATAGCAATCACTAGGGGAAAGAAACTACTGCTA